AGCGATGGCAGGACACGAAACACGGCTATTACCCCCACCTCCACAGACACAGTTTGGCGGTAAACCTCATCTAATGCCCCACATTTGTACCGTATCGCCTGAGGTGGGAGAGGTCGAGGTTGACATTGACTGGAGCATTATATGCACTTAATAGGTCTCGGTTTCTAAAATACAGTAATGATCACATGACTGTCAAACTGTTGCAGTTGAAACATTTTGTATCCAACAATGCGAAATGCCCAGAAAATAATAAATGGATTTATATCAACATGTATTAATTAAGTTTTAGCACAAATTACATTTTCACATTTTGCTGTTTTATTTAGATTCTGTTGATTATTCCCCATGATGCGTCCAGGTATGAAAAAGATACATTGTTTGAAAACAAAATGGCAGCCAGTTGGCCATTTTAAACTTGATCTGAAAAATAAAATGATGTACATCCTGGTCTCATTATGTTTAATTTATATAGCAAATTTATACAAAATCTGTCTTTGTACAACTGAGATTTGCCTCCCGAGTTATGAAAATGTATGATTTTGATGCATTTTTGTCGGTTGTTTACAAAAAATAATGAGGCCAAATTTTTTTTTTCGCAGACAATCTCAAAATGTTGTTTTGAAAAAATAACTCTCAATTCATCATATCATGAAATCTCAGTAATGAAAATTAAAAAGTATATTTTTGCGTTTACAGTTTCTGTCATTAAGAGATAAGTACCAGATGTGGTTACATCATGTGAGACTCACATTAGATGAATCCCGACATGTTGACATTAATGACTCAGGACTGAACAAACCCAGTATAGACATGTCTGAAGTTAGACGTATGTTAGGATCGATGAATCAACAAGTTGATGATAAAGCACAAAGACTTATGACATCGGTTGAAGATTATCAAAAGGTAGCAATTATTTCATTTTCTGAGAGTTGAAAATTTTTTCTCGATGTTGATGTTTCTCTAGGGTTGTAATATTTCATGAGCACTGGACCTAAAGCTAACATACCAATCGGCTATTGTCCACCTAAAAATCACCTCTTAGAGCCAAAATAATAGTCTTTTTAGATAAAAACAAAATATGTTTTCTATGCAGTCACAGGGGTTAAACCTTTTGAGTACCAAGGTAAACTTTTTATAACCTTTCTCAAAAAAAATCTGCATAACCTGCAGACGATGTATAGGTCAAAAGGATGTTATGTCAATTTGGTACTAAATTATTCAAAAATGTGATTTCTTTAGGATGTGACCAAGTAACTTTGGTAATTTTGGTACAAAAGTTTTAAAATTCTTGGTTGCAGTGCTTGTGGTTGCTTTAATATTTGAATTAATTTTTGTTCCAGGCATTTAAGGACATTGGAGTCACTGCTGTCCCTCCTGACATTTTTTTTGTTTTGGGTGATAATTGCAAATGCACATGTGAATACTGTGTATTTTACTGTGTAAGGCAATATTCAACATACAGACTGGAATTTAATCTCATTATATCAGACTGCTTTTCTGAAGGAGCTGTTTATTTGCAACAAATCAGCTAAATTTTTCAAAAATCATTTGTTTTTGTTTTTTTGCGTTTTTTCTCTGTCTGTAACCATTTCCATGTGTGAGTGTTGAGAAAAAGTAAAATAAATGACTGTTAGGCCAGACTTTTTTATTCCTTCTTTTTATAAGGCAATTTATATAAGGTACTTTGATCATGATACTCCCACGAAAATGCAACTTGGGTTTGTTATGCGGCGAGTGGGAAAAAAATGAAGATAAAAATAAGGTTTTTTTTAGCAATTTTTTGCACTTACAAGTCGGAAATTACGCTGAAATGAAATTTTATTTTTATTTCATTTTCGGCTCCTGTTCATTCGGCGGGTTCGCGAAACAAGGGATAATAAAAGTCTGGCCTTACCTTCTGTTTGTCCTTCTAGAATCAAAGTGCAATGCTAGGGGGAATACAAAGTTTAACGAGGGACTCCACACCAGCAAACGCTGGAGACAATACTACGGGGATGCTTGGGATGTTATCAATGCTCAACAATTTGTCCACTTTACAAATTGCTCCAAGAACCACAAATGCAGTTGATGTGAATGACACTAGTGGCAGTGCCGACCAGAATGCTATGTACTCTATGTTGAAAAATGTCTGCTCTGAAGTAACAATAAGAAGGAAAAATCAAGAAGATTCAAAGGAAATGATGGAAAAATCGACTGATGAAACATTTGAGAAAAACGAAAGGTATGGTTAAATTCAGTATAATAAAAATAGCTTTATAAAGTTTATCTAAAAAATTCATTGTATCAATTAAAATACAAGGAACTCGAAAGTCACACCGGTGATACAAGAGTGCATCCTGTATCTCCAAGTTGTATTGCCAGCAAAATTATATTTTGAAACTGTTGACATACATGTATTAAGTAATATGTGTATATTAACTATTGTAACAGCTGCATTATCAATAGCCGAACATCACCTAACAGTTTTGTGGATTCTGTTGTGATTGTTTCCTGTATAGCAAGTAGCGCCCCCCCCCCCCAATTTATTTTGTGAATGCTGACAAAAGTTACCTTTGACATTTAAACAGTAATAGATTCATTGCATTTCCCTAGTTTCAGAATGTACAGTTTTCTGTTAGAGAAAATGATTTACCAATTTCTAAGTAATGATGGTCACCAGGATTGGGGGGGGGGGGGGGCTGCTCCACTGCCAGTTGAAAACAAAGCTCCAAAAGTTTAACGTTGTGGAAATTTTTTGGCTAAAAAATTGATGTTTTCACAAAATTTGCCAAAATTTTGCTAAAATGGCCAAAAATCGTAAAATTAGGGATAAAAAAAATGGGAGTCAAAACAACAGCGCATACACGCATACTTCAACTATAGGAGTACTCTCCGAGGAGGGAGTCATGACGAACTGTGGCAATTGGTTGAGCTGTTCTTTTTGTAACAAGTTTCATTGAAAACAAAGATCTTTTTATTTTTCTATAGGCCAACACTGGATTCACATGTAGTAGCAACACAGCAAGATATAATACTGGAGGAAAGATTGACGGAGAAAATTAACCAGGCCGAGGAGAGAATCTTAAAGAGTGTGGAAAGACAAATATCGGCTTTGCAGATTCATATTGACAATCGATTGGATACAATACTTGCAATGTTGACTAACAAAAATGAGATACCTGTGGACTGATGAATAGTATCACTATTCTTCAAGATTTATGTCAAGTTGTGAAAAGACAGTCATTATGAAACATTATTACAGACATTGTGCCCTTGACTTTTGTAATTGCATATATGGGTCAGCAAGAAACTTTTTAATTCCCACTCTGGGATGCTCAATTTCAACCCTGGGTTTCTAAAGCTATGGTTTGGCGCATCTGTTGTTCACAATTTTGTCTTTGATGCTTGACCTTCATGGGGTGATCTGTGTAAATATTCTTAAACCCTGACCTCGATCTTTAATATTTACAACAACAGGGCTTTCCTAAACCTAATTTATGTTCATACATATTTCTGGACACTTTTGAAATTTGCAATAATAACAAGCATTTTCATCACTAAACATCCTGAATTATCACATGAACAGGAAAAGTCATGATTCTCAGCCCTCACACATGTGTAAACATTACAACTGTAAATTAGGTAGGTTTCTGGGTATAAATTAGACTTTGAAAGCCAACACAACGATTTCAATACACATATGAAACCATGGAATCAAGGGTTAGGTCTCTCTGTGCATCTGTCTATCCCACATTTCTCATACAAATGGGTTCTAATTTTTTTTTTTACCACGTTCAATTTCAAACAGCTGTTGTCACATTGGCTGAACCTAGTTAGGCAAGAGAATGTTATTTGGAAAAATGACTTGTTAGTCCCTGATCTGTATCCAGCCACATCTCACATGTGCTTGGACTGATCAAGTTTAAACTTCACACATACATCAGACATTATATCGGACAAGATGCGAATCAAGATGTCTGAATGGCAGCCATTTTAATGAAAAAATCACTTATTTGTCACATCAAAATCACATATTTATCACATCAAAATCAAATATTTTCACCATTTCAGTCATGTGTAGACTGATTTGGTTTTAACTTAGTACATGCATTGAACACAATGGGACATTGATAAACGTCATAGTTTTCTGATCAAGTTGAAAATGATTGACTGGTGGCCATTTTGTTTTAAAGAATGCAGTTCCGGATATTCATATATCTGTTATGCATGAACAGATAAAGTTTAAACTTCACACCTTTGTTTGATAGTCTGATTCAAGATGCCTGAATGTAAGCCATTTCAAGGACAAAATCACACATTTTCATCACTCAGGAGCAGATCTCAGTTATACATGGACAGATTTTGTAATAATAATAGGACTATGATGTACCGATATGATTTTTAGCTCCGCTGTCGACTTTGTCGAGCGGAGCTTATCGTATGAGTGATTGTCCGTCGTCGTCCATGTCAATGTTTTACTTTTTTGACTTCCTCTTGAAAACTATAAGCCCGAATGCTTTGATACTTGATGTATATGTACCTTGGGTAGACCTCTCTCAGATTTGTTCATTTTGTAATATCTTTAATTCTCTAATTTTGGTGAATATTTTTGTCATTTTTGGGAAAAAGTGATATTTTGACTTCTTGTTAAAAACCGCAAGTACAATTGCTTTGATATTACATATATAGGTACTACATGTGGACCTCTCTCAGATTTGTTCATTTTGTAATGATATCTTTAATTCTCTAATTTTGGTGAATATTTTTGTCATTTTTGGTAAAAAGTGATATTTTCGACTTCTTGTTAAAAACCGCAAGTCCAATTGCTTTGATATTACATATACAGATACTACATGTGTATCTCTCTCAGATGTGTTCATTGTGTGATGATATCTTTAATTCTCTAATTTTAGTGAATATTTTTGTGATTTTTGGTAAAAAGTGATATTTTCGACTTCTTGTTAAAAACCACAAGTCTGATTGCTTTGATATTACATATATAGATACTACATGTGGACCTCACTCAGATTTGTTACTTTCATGGTGATATCTTCAATTATCTAATTTTGATGATTATTTTTGTCATTTTTGGTGAAAAGTGATATTTTTGAATTCTTGTCGAAAACAGAAAGTCTTGTTGCTTTAATACTATGCATATTGTTTATTTTCTAATGATATCTTCTGTTCTTTAATTGAAATGTGCATTGCCAACAGCGGAGCTATCTCAGCCGACAGGCTGCTTGTTTTATTTTTCAGTTTAAAATGGCCAACTGGTGGCCATTTTGTTTTTAAATAATTCATCAAGTTCAAACTTCACTCAATATCAGATAAACGCACATGCATTTTTGTCACTATAATGGCTGGTCGATATTATGGATATTGATATTTCATGCCTATAATACAAACAGGGACTAAGTCATAAACAACGGTTTGTTTTTTTAATTTTAACAGCATTTTGTATGCATTTTTGAAAAGATTTGGATGTCGACTATAGAAAAATATGCCAAATTGACTATGTCAAGACTTAGTCTGTCTGACTTTTATAAATAAAAGGTTTTGGAAAGTAATATTACCCTGGTAGGACTGGACAAACTACTCAGGTTATTTATTTTTTTCAATGAAGTGAGACAAATCAGTGAGACAATTACATAGTCTATTACATTACATTACTCCTAACCACTGGATGTAAAACATCTGGAATAACAGATCAATTTGCTGAATTCCAGCTAAAGTGATACAATCCTGATAAATGATTCCTTTTACGAGTCCACAGAGGAAGTATGGTTCAAACTTATTTAGTCTATGCATAGCAGTGTACAGACTTTAAAGCCACACAGTTTCTAGACTAAGGTATGTATGGTGATACATTAAGAAAATTAACAACAATGTTTTATGTAATAGTATTTTATACAGTAAAACTATTTACATTGAATAAAATAACAAATATACACAACTTGTAAACTATTATTCTGTAACGTATATATATTTTGTATACACATGAAACATGATCATTGCAAACAAAATTCTGCAAAGCTGATCTAAAATATACATGTTGAAATAAGGATTAAGAGGCATAAGTGCCGAGTTTGTCAACCAATGCAAGCTCTAGTACCAGATTAACAAGGAATTGCTATGTAACTAATCAATGTGTAGTCTATGAGCCAGACACAAGTCTGTGGACACTAAATCAGCGATTCCCAATTATTTCAAGCAGCGACACACAAGTGTTTCTCATTTGAATACATTGAAGTGAAATGTTGTTTTGGGGGACTAAGATTATACACAATAAATTAACAAATTCTGCAGTGATGCTACTACATGATTTGCATAGTGGGCAGAGCTCAATTATTCTGTTCATGTTTTTCAAGTAGGACATGGAATTGGCTTAAGAATTTACTGAAAAATACATTTTTTTTCCAGATGAAGATTTGGATATTTCACAAAATCTGAACAACTTCCACAGAATGGTTTGATCATCTGTAGCCTGCAATCAATAAGGTAATCCACTTACTGTATGTCACTCTGCTAATAAATTATTTTAGTCTAACCCTCAATTTGAATAAAAATAATGTAAGCAAGTGTGGGGGGTGTCCAAATGTCCAAACTTGACCAATGAACGAAGAGTATTATAATTCCCTATGACCTCTAGCGACATCCCATAGTCTGTATAAATTTGAATGGGTAATGAGATACTACTAGCATCATACCTCGGCATACCCGGTACATAGTGAGCAGAATGCCACATAGATGTCTGAGTTATTACGAGCAGTGGGGGTAAATAATATTATGCCATTTTCCCAACAAAAAAACTGGAGCATTGCACCTAGGCATTAGTGGAGTGGCTTATAGCAAGTAGAACACCACATTGATTCTAGGCACTAGTGGCACATATATTATAGGGTAGATACTGTGGAATACTTTATTTTCGCTGGAATTAATTTTCGCTAAAAAGGCTTTTTGGGCGTTTTGTATGGAATTTATTTTCACTGATTTTTGATGAGTTTAATGTGAAATATAGGAAAATCAAAGAAAGCTTAGAAAGAACTCCTGTGTGCTGAGAGTTTTGGAGACACATTAAAAATTAATTCAAAATTACTTATACTTGAGATATTGAT